TTTGTTGAGGAGTTTCAACACAAGTTTTATGGTGGATGATGCCCTTTTTGAGATAGAAGTCTTTCATATTAAGTTTTCCCCCGTTATCTGTGCTGATTATTTTTATTTTGGTGTCAAATTGCCTTTCAACCATGGCACAGAAATACTGAAGTGCAACTGTGGCATCAGACTTTAGCCTTAAGGTGTATACCCAAGTGCACCTACTAAAGTCATCAACTATGGTCAGAAAGTACCTTGATCCATCACTGCCAATTTCATTACAGGTCCCCATATGTCACAATGTAACGATTCAAGACACCTTTCAGATTTGCGAGTGCTTGTCGAAAAAGGTAATTTGTGTAACTTAGACAATGGACATATAGAGCACGGTTTTTTATTTACAGCTTTTGAGAATTGAACATCACCACCAGTATTCAGAATTGAATATGATGTGTGTCCTAATCTATGATGCTAAACATCAAAGTCACTAGTGACAGCTGAAACAGAAGAAGAGTTGATGATCCGCCTATTAAAATTATTTTGGAAATCAGTCAAGGCTGAGGTAGGAAGGTCTCCAAGCTTCATATGATATAATCCTTCATTGACTTCACCCATGCCAATCATCTTCCAAGCTGCAAGGTCCTAGATATAGCAACAATTTGAAAAGAAAATTAGACAGCAATTTAAAGCTTGGGTCAACTTCTTTGCAGAAATGAGATTGAATGAGAAACTAGGCACACATAAGACATCCTGCAATGTTAAAGTGTCTGAGATTTTTATGGTTCCTATGTGAGTGACAGGAACCGTGTTTCCATTAGGTAAGGAAATCAAATAAGTAAATTTAGCATGAATAGATGAAAAAAAAAAAGAGGCTGAACAGATCATGTGATTTGTTGCCCCTGTATCTATGATCCATGGGGCTTTTGAAATGTTTGTAAATTTTGATTTGGCACAAAGAGAAATACCAGATAACTGGTGTATAGTTTCATCAGTAGAGGTGGAAGTAAAAACACTCTTAGCATTGTTAGCTGAATGGATTTGATTTTGGCAACTGCCAGTAGGTTTAAGGAGAGCCATGAGTTGTGAAACTTGCTCTTGAGTTAATTCCACTTGGGTTTTGTTCCCTTCAACCTGGCATGCAGCACATGGTGACATGATGGCTTGGTTTACTGAGCTCATTTCCTTCCCATTCACCTTGTGACTTGGGGGATAGCCATGAAGTTTGAAGCATTTCTCCATCAGATGGCCTGGAATATTACAGTAGCTGCAAACAGGTTTATCTAGATTGGCTTTAAAGCATCTATCAAGTGAGTGCCCTGCCACTTTACAGAAAGTGCAATAGTATCTTTCCCTTTTTGGTGCATAAAAGCCTGTCTCCCTTTGTCCCTGAAATTCCCCTTTGTGAAGAGGGCCATTGATTCATTAATAGATCCTTCAATGGATATCTCCCTCATTTTTTCTTCCTGATGTATTGATACGCTCAAAATGGCGTACCAACTAATTTTCCTTACTAAGCTTTAAATGTGTCGTCTTAAATA